ACTTATTTCAAATAATTAGTCTAGAACGTCTACTTAAATGTACAACTAACTCGATATTTAAATACTATAAACTATTAAAGGATTMACTTATTACTTTTCCCTAGGAATTAATTTTTACAAAAAGACCTAATATCATCGAAAATACTTCAAGGTGATAATGCAAATTTCTGGCCAATTTTAAATATGTTTCAATAATCAGTGTTGATGTTGAATGCAAGTTATTCATCTTACAAGTAAATTTTTACATATCACCGTCATAATTTCACAGAAATAAACATGGTACACACTTTTATAACTTATTGTTTTTCAAATTAATACACTACATTAAATTGTATTTTTTTCCTATTTATATCATCAATGTATCTACTATTTAATTTTAATAAAATATTTTTACAATATATTAATGATTAAAAACTAAAACTAAAAATTAAGTGAAAAACAAGAAATTTCACGCACAATCAGTTTTTGACAAAATCGATTTTGGTTTTTGATGTAACTTTAAAACAAATGACCATAGATACATGAATTCTTCACCTAATGTTTATATACGTATATTCTATATCTACCATGCAATTTTCATTATTAGTTTTTTTTTTTAAATTAATATCCATAAAAATGTATTTGTTGGGTATAAAAGCTTGAAAATTTAATAAAGGCTCCTAATGCAGTCTACCCTTCCTTGAACTGGTKATCGTGTGTGTATATGAGCATGATGTGACAAAAGTTGTTCGATATATTATAATATGCCTATTGCCTATAGCCTACTGCTGCCATACGTTTTTAATAGTGTTTATTCGTATTAAACCAAATTTTAATCATTTTATCATTCAAGTCATTAAATGTCTCTGTTCAACTAAAATCTATAAACTATATACTAGTACTTCTATATACTACGTGTATAGTTTAGAAGTATAACTATCAAATTTAAGTAATCATTACGTTAAAATTTTTTCGACATTAAAGTTATGTTCATTTAGACGCAAATAGCTAAAATATTTAGGGGCAATTATAATATGACGTCTATATATASTCYACCATAAAGTTTTTTTCAAAAAATTATTGTTAAATGTACCTAGTACAAAATACTAACTTTTAAATTTAGGCGGGAAGGTTGCGTCATGGTTATGTTTGCTTTAACTATTCAATATTTGTATAACAAACATTTTATATGGTTATAAATGATTTACTATTTTAAACAGTTGAAATAACTATAAATTTTCAACTAATTCATTTTAGTACTCTTAACACATTGTTTGACATAACTAAAATATTTGTTACACCAACTAGAAACTATCCAATTATTTACTATAACCAATGTTTTTTTCCCTGTAACATATTGTTACAAATAACAGTTGCAAAATAAAATAAATTTACAGTCACAATTTTTTTTTTTTAAGCATTCAAAGTTTGAATTTCGACTTCACGTAAAAATCACGAAAATTCGTAAATTATCTGATACTAGAAATTCATAAAAAATGTTCTTTTTATATCTAAGATTTGAAAAATTTTAACAATGTATAATATATCCTAGACAGATAAACCGTCTCTGTTCAGAATCGTTTTTCGTATACAATGATATAATATCATTGGATTCAAATTTAATTACATCCATTACGGCATTWCAGTAACCCAGTTGTAACCTACAGTACAACAGAGCAACATCCACGACTTTCTCGCTTTTTGTTAATGAATATGTAAATAAAATGAATAAATAATCATCACTGCAAAACTAAGATCAAATATAAAATGTAATAAAAATAAAAATTTTATTTTGCATGTTTTGCATTTTTCCTTGCATATTTTGACTTTTTTTGGCATATGATAGYATGCATATTTTACAATTTAAAATGTACATAAATCTGGTATTTTTTTTATATTTATCAAAGCTTAAACAACAAAGATTTTTAGCCAACACTAAATTAAAATATACCAGTATACATTATATATTTTATAAATATTGACATGTTTAGTATAGTTTACAATTTATGACATGTTTATACAGTGGAAAAATGAATTGATTGCATTGGTGTTGTCTATATACCAGAGCTATTCAAACAGTGCGTCGCGGCTCCCAAGGGCGTCGCTAAAGTTTGCAAAGGGAGCCGCGTCAAAGCACCAAAAACCAACATTATACCTAAGTCATGCATAATTATTATAAATATTATTTGAAATCATTGTGGAAATGAAAACGACACACCTTACGACCCGACCATTTGAAGATTTATTTCTAGTACTAAAGTCACTCTTATTATCACCCATATAACATATTTCCCATATTGAATCCGTATTGTTTCAATTTTTTCATAATAATTTGAGAGCCATGAAAATATTGTGAACACCCAAAGGAGCGTCGTGCTGAAAAAGTTTGAATACCTCTGGTCTATACGTTTTGAGTGCTTGATGGAGTGTGATGGGATATTTGAGGATGTTGTGGGCTTCCGTATATTTGGCGCAATTTATGATTATATGTTCTATTGTTAATGTTTCATTGCAATAAGTGTCACATACTGCAGGAGCTGGTTCTTTCTTATAAGGTAAGCTTGTGTTAAATTTGAGTGGCTTATTTTAGCTCGAGTAATATTTACTTCCTCTCTTCGTTTGGTGTTAGAAGGGTAAGGTCAGGTTTAGGAGGGTATTTTAATTTTTTTTTWAAATAATTTGATCAATTATAAACAGTCTTATCAATTCTATTCAAGAATAGAAAAGGTTWAAAATAAATATTATTTTTTTAATTGACTATTATCATTAGACTATTTCGAAAACAATATGACAACCGCAGCTGTAGTTATACAGCCGTGATGACAACTTAAAATTATTGATTTACTAACTATATTATGTACAATCACAATAATCGATAATCTGGCGTATAAAATAAACAATATATATTTKTTGTAAAAATTCAATTATAGAATTTCATAGGTACATTGTTTAGATAAAATATATTTAAAACACAAATTTAGGTAATAACGCTTGCAAAATTATATGTATATTCTATATACTCGTAAATAAAATATCAACCCATCATTATGATTGAAAAATGAAAATATTTAACAATTTTCAAAACTTTTCCATTATATCACGGCATACGTGTATGCCGTCGCTCTACGGTTACCTAGTTTGCGATAGACCACACCTACAGTTCAAATGCCAAATTTACCATCTTCATCTTCCATATTTGTACAGTATGATTTCAAATATAAAGTAGCAAATAGTAATAACTATAAAAACGAAAATACAGAATCTCAAAATATAAAAAGGTGTGAAATAAAAAATAAAACAAAACAATTTATAACTTGATTTCCAAAGATGCAGTCAATTTGGATTTATTTATATTTTTTTTTGTATTTTTTTTTTGTATTTTTTTTTCTCACAAAAATGAAAAGTTAATTTTATCATATTTGTTAATCGCATAGATTAAATATACCCAGATAAGCACTCATACTGAAAAGCTGGAAACGCGCAATATTTGAATTAATTTATGTATTTATCCATTCTACTTGAAATTCGAAATAGGTACATTAATTGACGTCTTGTCGAAGTCAGAGTATATAGTCTCATCTTGGTATATTCAATCTRCGAAATAATACATAAATAATGGAGATATACAATAACATAACTATATAAAGACGTCCAACGCTTACAAAAACACTCAACATAGGTTAATTCTATAACTTATAGTAATTAAGATTCTTTAAAAGGAGTAACATATTTTGACTATACATAATGTAACACTAAATTATTGTTAAATGAGAACAAGAATAGAGGCATAGCGGTAAAATAAATTTAGTGAGATATAAAAGTTAGTAATTTTTGTAATTAAAACTATCGAGGAAAAACATAATATGCAGGTTATAATTTCATTAAAACTTTTTTTTATCCCTAGGTAGGTTACACTACAAATACACACTCAACATTGGAATACAAATAATGAAAAGTGATAACATATTATATATATATTAAATAACAGTATTATCATATTTAAAAATTTTTTTTTGTTTAATATTCACTTGAAKTATTTAACATATTTATTGTCTAATGTTAATCAGAAAACTTATTTACAGACATTTCGTTTAGCAAATGGTAACAAGCGGAGTTTTAAGATTTTTTGTATTTTTATACATAATAATATATTAAGTTATTACGATTAATATATATAAAAAATGAATGCATAATAATAATAAAGTACTTGGTAATTGGTAATACCTAGGGGAACACAGATATAATACGCCATTGGGGTGACTATAACCACGGTAGAGAAACGCAGAGGGACAAGTTGAGCTTGATCTTTGCACCAACCACCAACATAATACACGTATCCTATTATGTGTGTTATACAGTTATCTAGTCGAAAACGCACAGAGTGCTTAAAAGAGTCGAAGTAAAAAGTTAAAACGTAACGCGATATAATAAGATTCTCAAAAGTCCGAAAAAAAAATTAATTAATACCTACAGTTGATTTGGGAGAATAAACGAGTTTGTCGTGGCCAAACACACATAACATTCTTGCTTATAAAACGCGGCCAACGAACATAATATAATATATAATATTATGATAACAATAATAATCAATAATTAATAAATATAATTATAATTATAGTAGGTAATAATAGTAATATTATAGTAGTAGTAATAGTTATAGTAATATTAGAAGAAGAAGAATATACACCTACAAACAACAAAACCGAATGGAATTAACGAGTAGAGTGTGTGTTATAATATTGGTATTATTTTTCCGTTTCTATTATATCATTTTATTTATTGCAAGAAGATTAAATGTAAGCTTAACATATATCAACAAGGCGACATCGTCGTCTCACACACACGACTATACAAGTAAATCGATTTGTATTTAGATCATATAATTATAAATCATAATAAATATACAATTATGATAATGTTTCAAGGTTGTCGGTGTACTTACATACGAAACGTATATACATTTTATACGCTTGTGAGCGACATTACATAATATAACATTAATATGATGCGCTTTTTTTAACAAGTCTTACGCGGGGGGTTGAGAAGTTGGCGTCGTGGTCTGTTCGATGTCGTCGTCTTCGTCAATAGCAGTTGCGTTGCTTAAGGTAGAGCCACGACGACTTGTACGTATGTGACAGGGAAGTATCCAGTACGGCCGTTGGTGCTTCCCTCGAACCAGTTCTCGTCAACCCTGTTCAGCAGTATTATAGTCTCGCCCTCCTGAAATCACGTTATAGCCATTAATATTACTATCGGGTACAAATAATTACCACCATTAGTTACTACCTTAAATCCTAATTCCCCTGGATTCTCAGCTTCAAAATCATATAACGCGGTACAACAAGGTGAGTTGCGTGGTATTTGTCGTTGAACTGACTTAATTGGAGAAGAAACTGGAGATGCTATAAAAAATAAAAATAAAAATAATTTATGTCGATGTCAAAATTTATAATAGATTTAAATAGAAGACAAACAAAAATTGTGGAGATAAATAAATTACAATATTTGATATCAACAAAGCAGTAAAAACATAACTTAATGTGAATTAATTTTTATTTATAAAAAGCGTGCAGTTATTGTTTAGTATTGAACTTCTCAAAAATCTATATGCAGACTAAATTTCGTTTAAATTAAATATTTGCAAACGTTATAAATAAGTTAAATTTTTAAGAATTTTAGGTATTTGACTTCTGAWTGGAGAGTTATTTAAAGATCAATTGCACTAGTCGGAGAATTTGAACACACGATGTATAATAGGTATTATTATTAGTCAAAATGTTTCAACATTTTGTACACATAAAAATAAAATACTAATAACAATCACCTAATAAAAGAAACTAATTTATTTTTATAGCTTATTAAAAGTCAATGCTAATTAAAAATTATCTACCAAAATTTGTCTATCTACTAAATTTACGCATTGAATCGCTTTAAGGGAACGAGTGAAATTGCGTTTCCACATWAACCTAAAATGTGTGAGCAGTCGTTAACGCATAATAGCATCATATTGCGGAGAGTGCGTATATAAAAAAGTAACTACCTACCAAGTTACTTAGCGGTGAAGGTGTATTAAATATTTACAAGCATCTTTAAAATAGCAATTAATGTAGTAGTTAGTAATAATAAGAAATATAACATGCTTTAAACAAGTAACAACAATAGGTAGGTACCATTGTGATGTGATTGTTGATGCTGGTTATCGTGATGGTTTGCTCCGGACGTTAATTCCAGCGTGTTAGACTTTGCGTGAGTCGGGGACGAAGCTCGTGAACTACCTAATGTTATAATTTTGCATTATAAAGATAAAAAGCAATTTTGTTAATAAATAATGATTGTTAATTACGTTTATTACTATAACATAAGCTTTAAAAGTAGGAGCAACGACCACAATATATAAATACATTTTTGACGATTTAAGCCCACAAATATTTAAACAATACTTGAATATAAGCCGAAAAAAGTCTACCTAAGTATATGTATAATGTTTGATTTAATGGGTTAAACTCGGTAATAATTCGATAGATTTCGATGAAATAATTTAATTGATGATTCCAAAATGTTGATCAAACAGCCAAAGTATAAAAAGATCAGATTATACATACATGTTCCTACGTTTTAATAAATAGAATTTATGAAGTAGGTAATATTTATGTCTAACAAAAAATAGGTAAGTACTATGCTAGCTAAACAAATTTCAGAAACAATTAAATTAAATGGTTTTTTTTTGTATGATTGTTCGTAGTAAACTAGTAAACCCAAATCTACCATATTGGTTGTTTCTATTATATCACAGGTATCAAAGATACTTAATTTCTAAAATATAAACTATAGGTTATAAATGTATGGATTTGAAACTTGAAAGGTCTACTTATATAAAAAAGTAAATATTATTACAGCTTAAGAAACTGCAATTTAATTATTTGTAATGCAATCCGAGATATAAATTTTATTATATTAATATTATTGATCAATATCCAATAAGTTAAGTAAAATTCACACATAATCACAAGAAGCAATACTTTAACATTAAGTACAACATTCACTTAAATCTTTATGAAGCCATACGCATTCCCAATGCCTACACATCCTAAATGGGATCACTTTTGTTGCGTCCCATAAAAAAGGTATACACAAATTGCGTCTCAAAAAATACAGGACAGAATTCGTATATTTTAATCAGGAGTTCTTAAATAACTAACAAAAATAAATAACAATTATAAATATAATCACAAGTCAACCAAAAAATTATTTATGAAATGTAATAAAAAATTAAATAAATGTTAAATCATATAGTTCTAATCAAAATCAAAATCATATAGTCCATAATATAATAAATAAATAATAACAATAATGTTTTCAATCAAAATTTCAGTCAAATATTAGGTTTATATTTTTATTCATTCCTATAATTTAAATCATTATCGAAACATCATATAAGAGCCCAGGCTCCCTTATAATTAATATACCTCGGAGAACCCCTTCTTCATTTCTAAAGACTTAGCCTTGTCATAGTTAGAAAATAGATCTCCACTCTTCATTCTCTAATGCCGAGTTTTCATATGTGAATACCCGCTACATCCAGCCAGTCTAATCATCTCTCCTATGAATGTCTTCCTCAGTCCTCCTCTTTCTTTGCATCCATTGATTCTTCCTTCTATTGTTTTGGTTATGAAAGGGTTATGTTCCTATACATTTTCCGCTTCTTGATCTAATGATGGATAGTAACACGCTCTTCTCCTCTACTATTTGGAGAATTTCTTCGTTGCTCTTCCTTTCAGTCCAACTAATACGAAGTATTCTTCTCCAGGTCCACATTTAYATTGCTTCAATTTTATTTTTATCTTGTGATGTTAAGGTTCAGGTTTCACTGCCATACAACAAAAAACTTCATACGTAGCTTTTGGTAAAGTTTTTTTTGGTTTTAAGACTACGATTGTTGCTCGTAAGTAGCTGTTTTTTTTTGTGAGAAGGCTCTCTTTGCCATTGCTATTCGGTGTATTATTTCTACCGAATATTTACTATCACTAGTTAATATACTTCCTAAATATGTATGTTGTTGCACCTGATCAATTATTTTGTTATCCAGTTGTGTCAATATTGAATAAATAAGGTGACAAAGAACAGCCTTGTCTTACCCCTCTACGAATTCTAGCTGTGGATACGCAGTCTCCTATTTTAATTATTGTTTCTTGGTATTTATATAGTTCCATAATAATTTTTCTGTCTCTCCAATCCAGGCCAGTTCTTTTCAAGGTAGTCATCRACAAGTTCCAATTTACGGTATCGAATGTTTTTTCTAAATCGATAAACTTTATATATGTATTTCTGTTCATATTTAGCCTTCTTTCTGCAATTATTCTCAAAGCTAAGGCAGCTTTTCTGGTACGCATTCCTTGTCTAAGTCGAAACTGATCTTCTCCCAAATTTATTTCCGCTTTTTTCCATATTCTATTCTTTATAATGTTCAAAGTTATTTTTGAAGCGTGTATAAGAAGGCTGATAGTTCTACTCGTATAGTTGTTTCATTCTGTAGGGTTTTMTTTTTTGGGGATAAGTTTAGTTCTACTTCGTGTAAAATCTTTTGATACTATACCTTCTCGATAAGTTTTTCTACCATTTAAAAAAAATATCTCTCGTTTCTGCCCTGAATGCTTCCACAATTCGGCAGGTATTTCATCTAGCCTGCTGCTTTATTTTATTTTAAGTCATGGATTGCTTTGATGAACTCGATTTTCATTATACTAGGCCATATTTCACTTCCCAATTCGGTACATCTCTTCTATTCCAATATTATTTTCGGAGAACCCCAGAAAACGAAATAAATATTCTTCTACCTAACCAATATAGTGGGACGCGATACGCAATTCATGTATACTTTTTTAGCGGGACGCAACTAAGGTGCCCTGTCTTAAATGAYCTCATTCCCTTCCTCAAAGATACCAGACTGAATAAACAAATTTAATAACTACAATCAAGCAACAACCTATTCCATTTTGCACAATATATATATATATATTATATATTATTATTATTATTATTATATTATATATATATATTATACCTAATACCTATATCATACATATATTATATTTAAAATTTAATTTAATATATTTAAATGTTCTATAAAAATATGTTTAAGCTGATTTCCTTAGCTGCTGAAGTTGTAGATGATCAATAAAAAAAATATCTAGTAAAACTAATAACTATTATAAAGGGTATTATGTATGCAAGAAATTATATATTAACTAAATATACGATCGTATTAGGTACGTGTTAATAATTAATACAAATCAATAAGATAACAATGCAATGTAATGTTAATTTTTTAGGTTCAAATCAAATTATCACATAACACGTATTTGATTTAACGATACATTTATAAATAGTTAGTATTAAACTAGTTATTTTGGTTTTTTACCTTTGACGTGTGCGAGCTGTGGTTCCATCAACTCGTACTCGTCTGAAAAAACCGTTATACTGTGTATATTACAATGAAACTAAAAGGCCTAGAAAACGGTGTTACAAAATATCGAAATCCCACTTCCCAATTTACAACAAAACAATAAATTTATAGATAGATATCACTATTTTCGTATCATCCGTTTCGTCAGGGCTGATATCTAAATATTTAATATATTAAAGACTAACACATCATAGTAATAGCATTTTTCAACATCTACATGACCACTGCGTTTTTTTTATGTGAATTTATTAAAATATATTTTTAAATATTCAAATAATTACCATTAATGTCATCCGCGATAACGTCCACTGGATGTAGATCGTTCAAAGTCTTAGGCACAAATTCTAATTTCGGGCGGCTGGCGGCTTGATCACGCCTACAATATCAAAAAGTGTCAATAAAATGATTTCCATAGACGTTAGTATCCATCAAATTTTTTCAACAAGAAATTATGTCCATTAAAAGTAATGACATTTTTTATTATAAGCTATAGGTACTTAATTAATATATCACCCGATATTTCAGTGGTGCAACTAGGATCAGGTTATATTTTCGAGAGTGGTTGTTCATATAAAAATATTAATTTAAAAAAAGGTCTTCACATTGAAATATTTTACTTTTAGAAACATTTCAAGGGGGGCGGAGGTCAAAACCCCCAAACGCCTCCCCTGGTTGCGCCACTGGGATATTTTATAATTAAGACTAAACGAATATCAATCCCCAATATCAGACAAAATCAGCTGATGAAATGACTACAGAAATKATCTATTACAGCCAAGATCCTATAGGATAAATGGAAAATTATTAATTGAGTACTAAATGTATTATCASATGAAAACACATATACTATACGTCTATACATATGCATTGTGMATGCCATAAATTTGGTATATAATGAGTATACTATATACGTCAAAATATGGGTAGCTATAGGACGAGATACCGATTGCTAAAGTCACTGTCTAGATTATTGTAAAATATTAGGTATACCCACACTACATAATAACTGCGATCTTTTTCACAGAAATAGTATAGGTACACGTAACACGTGAATAGCCTTTAAGTTGAATTTGAGTTATAATTTTTTTATTTAAAATTTTGAAATCATCACTTTTTTATAATAGGATCTTATTAGATATTTTATAAAATCTGGATACACATAAATAATTTACATATAATTTCTATGATAAAAAGTAAAGATGTGGCTTGGTGAGGCGCGGTCTAACCTAACACGCTTGAGCGTACGTACCGGCCGTAGTTCCTAGCTCCCGGATGGTAGCCCATCCGGGATTTATAGCAACATATCCTTRCCAAATATACACAAACACGTGTAMAACCCTACCAACTTAAAAACCTACAAAAATCAAATATATAAAAATAACCTCTACCATACCACCCCACACCCAATGATCTATAAAATTATCCATAAAACATTTAAGAACATTTATAGTTAGACCCAATAACTACTGGTATAATGTTATAATGTCATAATATTATTTTTCCAAAATACCGTGGACCAAATAATGTGGATAAGCGTCAGGGAACCTGCAATATTATCGCTGTTTAAAACTTATAAACATTTAAACTTACTTTTCCTGGATTTCCATGACTGCCAATTTCAAAATTTCWGTACACTGTTGATGGTACTCGAGAAGACCTTCCGCAAATGTTGTTAACTGTGATATTTGTTCTATCTGAAATACGACGATTGCCATAAAAGAAATACTTAAATAAAATATTTATATCATATTTTTTTCATAAAGTCAATCATAGTTTAAAATAAACTAATATATATATATATATAAATTTAATAATATTTTAATAATTAAATAGTTGTAAACATACATCGTTGTCGAGCAAATTGAACATTCCTATCTGAGCACTATGTAACGATTCTGCAAATTTTTCTTCGGCTTGTTTCAGTTCTTCGTCACTAACGTGCGAACCTAAAAATACAAATTCAAAGTTTTTATTATCTGTATTACATGTATACAAGCATAAGTATATTTTATTTTACAAATTTAAATGTAACCTTTTGCTTGTTTCCTACGTTTGCAGTCGTAATCTAGTCTTCTTCCTTGCAGTTTCTTTCTATGATGCTATATAATCAAAATAATTTAAATTATTAAATTATTATTATTATTGACCAATCTTTTTCTTACATACCATMACTTCTTTTAAATCTTTGGTTTGTAAATGATGTAATGGTTCGAGGAAGTTTTGTTTGGTATTATCATCTAATGCGTACTTAACATCAGCCATTTGCTTAAGCGCTTCTCCCATCTCCTGTAGTGCTTGGCCAAATAGGCTGTCATCGCCAAGCTTCTTACCATACATAAGCAGACAATCACCAAGGGTACCCTCAGCCTGTGGATAGGTAGACGCTTTTGCCTGACCACTGAGTTTCGATATACCTTTGACGGCTGCCATTTTGGCTCTGGCAGTAGGATTCGGCTGCAAGAATTCTTTGGTTTTCATTTGAAGTTCTTCGACCAGCTCGTAAGTCACGTCAGTTTTCTAAAAAAGATTGATTATCAGGAATAATCCAATTTATGTACATTATAATACGTGCAATAAAGACATATTATATTGAAAGCATTTACCCTTTCCATATCAACGAAGTCCACATCAAGCTTTGTGCCCTCAACCCCGCCAATTTTCTCAGTCATGTACTGTAAATTGTAATTTATAGGTTAAAATACTATATATTATTTAATCAACTGATAAAATAATTACACGTTTAAGATTTCGAATTTCTATGACATACCTACTAAGCATATCTAATAACTATTAACAGTTGAAATTATCAAAATATTAATAATATATATCTCTAAGTACTAAGTACATAAATTATTAATTTACTACCAACCAAATTATCTACTATATAATTTTTTTTTGGTACGACTATAATTAYATTATTATAGAAATATTAATAAAATAGATATGAGCTAGCATCATCTATTTTATTTTATTTAGCAAGATTGCACAATAAAAGAGCATAGCTAAATTCATAGTTAACTTATTAAATGTATAAATGGTTGATTTGTTATAAATGCATTAAGAAACCTAAAGAAAAATCAAATATATAAATGTATCTTTTTTAATAAGTAATACATAAATAATTTTTAAATTTAGAATTTTTAAAAGGATTTTTGTATAGTAAATCATTTGATAGAAATTTAAAAATTGTATTTACACAATTTATTATTATTTATATGATGTACATTATTAAAGCATTTTAAGTATGTTTTTACTATAAGGTATTGGCTACTTATTTACTAATATTTATTTTTTTAATTCGTATATCTAAATTCTACATAAAGCCGTTTTCTTTATGTAGACACTTTTTTTAGAATATATACACTAATTTCTAAGAAATACATCTCGTCATTGTTAAACGGATATGCTCAAAAAATAAAAAACATTAGAAACATTTATAAAAATAACAATATTCATCAAGGGACATTTAATTTATATTTCTTAAGTATGTTGGTATAATATATATAAACGATAATAAAATGTAGGCATGTTTCAATTGCTTATTTCTCATTATAGTTCACTCGTCTTTTATTAATACCCTAATTATTATAAGGAGGTGGCGACAAATATATAGAATATACCAAGAGATAAGAATCGTACGACCAACCCCTACACCCCAACCATCGTCAATAYCGTCAGAACTACTACGCCACTTCCACGCCGGCCATGGGTATACAGAGCTTTGTTAATCAATAAAATGCTCTCGACTCCCAACCCGACGCACACACACATGCGCTTGTACGTATATACACACGCACACTAATGTAACAACACTCCCTTGGCCTCATTTTAACTTTTTCATCTCTTAACTAGCGTGAATAGGAAAATTAGGTCTACTTTAGTATAGAAAATCGTATTTTATGATATCATGACAAATGTAAAGAATGATACAAATTTAAATGGCAAACAAATCAAGAATCATTATGATATTTATTCGGATATCTTGATATTTCCTRTATATATATAGAATTCTGTGTTAGCTGTTACTAAAGCAACACACCGTGTCAACACTAACGACGATTAATCAAAGTATAAATTAAAATACAAAAAGTTAATTTCATTAAATTTATTTGTAGGCCAGCGTTCGTACTAACCAAACCGTCCATTATTTTCTKCTGTAAACATTTTTTTTTGTCAATTAATTTACAACACACTTTTAAACAGGAGCAAATGTATATCTATAAAAGTATAAAAATCGTTTGTTACGAGCGAATTTTATACAGGTTACAAATAATAGAATCTTAATCCTAATGATGGCATTATTGAACGACACGCATAATTAGCAAAGATTTCAGAACTATTGATATACATTTATATAATATACTATTAAAATAGAACCACCTATTTAGGTACACAAAATAATTACTTAAATCTTACTACTCTAGTTATGATTCGTTTATTTAAATATTTTTTAATATTCAACAAACTTGCTAAGCCCATGATAAGATTTTATGAAAATATCATGCACACTAATATATATTTTTAAACAATAAATATATAAGTCAAAAAGTCAACTACAAGAATAAACGACAACAGTTCTTCGTTAATTCACTTGAACATTTTGTAAAAAATTAGTATTTTAACCACAACAAACCAGACTATAACATTATTATCAATTAAAAAAGGTAAAATCACTCAATTTATAACAGAACGTTACCGGAAAATAAAAAGATAGTTAAAATAATAAATTCTTCAAAAATAATATTAAATATAAACGAACGTACTAGTATTGCATATATAATGCGCCGTCTCAACTAAGAAAACCGCAAAAACTATTTATAAAATATAATTTTAATTCTGTAATACTCAATAAAAAAATGAATTYGAAAAATATATCTACACCTAGCTTGAATGATAAAAATTAATTAATAACTCCATAATTTTTTTTAAATAAAATAATGATTTATTATGAATTATTATAAACTTTTTTTAGTAACACACATTTATTCTTTTTGTTTGTGAACTTTAAAATCAAAATATATTTGTGTGATGTTCTATTTATCAATTTTTTGTTCTATAAAAAAATCGTACTTTTTTGCATACATCCCAGATCTAATAATAATAAAAGTCATATTTACCTGATTCGCTTTGTTAATTTGCTTTTTGAGGCCAGCAAACGCCATTTTGGAAACTTTTTGTTCAACTCGTGTGTATTAAAAACTGACCTGAAACCAATAAACAAGAAAAATCTTACTGGAAAAAAAACTAAGGTGTTTGAAAAGCGTAAACAGCGTAAAGTTACTCTCAAAAGTTAACAATGCACAATAATGAAAAAGGTATATTATATAATATGATGATAATTGATGATCGGCGTAATACGTCAATATTTAATTTCAAAATATGTCCGAAACATTACGCTATATATTTACGTTAATGCAAAACATAGTACGTATAGTATATAATAACGAAAACAAAATAATATRATATTCAAGTGTAAGGTTATTCAACGATTTCGCACTGATTTTACCAATAATATCYGACGGGATGATCCGTGTGCGGTGCGTCTCGTACGTATTCGACTTCCGGTGACACTAGCGCGCGACTAACGCAGCGATCGCAAAGCTCGATGACTTTTTTTCGCCGTTCATCTCGCCCGTCGTCGCACACCGCGGCGTACCGGCGACGGCGCTTGCGCTCAGCTCTTGGCCGCCAACGTTATAATATTATATTAACGGTGTGCACGCATAATATATATATATATATACCAGCACTATAGTATAATATTGTTTCGCCCTCTGTTTTACGTATGTGGAAACGTGCAATACGGTTTTTTTCCTTTTTTCCGTTCGTTTAACGTTATAATTATGTAGTTATAAAAAATACCCGAAACGGGTGTACCTATTACATACCTATATAAATATAATATGTATATTTTTATAAAACTAGATGAGAAAACATATTATTACCAGTCCATGTATCGCCGGCAAAACACACTTTTTTTTAAGTGTAAAGGTACATGTTACACTTACACACTGCAATTGTGTATAACATATAATATAGGCACGCATTGTACTCGACTGCAACGTATATAATTACGAGAGATCCACGTGTTGAACGTAACATAATATAACCTAATTGCATATAGTAGAATATACGCACGGCGTATTAGCTTTTGAACACTCAACATTTATGAATTATTCCAGTTCCCGCGGGATTATCATTGTGTACAAGCGTGATGTGATTAATTTATAATGTTATCTATATAATGATTCCGGTAGGTATTGTAGCTAATACAAAATCGTTTTTAAGATAAATATAATTTAATTTTTTAAGATTTCAATTCAAAGCCAGAAAATTCGTTTTCCAAAGTCTGTTGTCCAATTATACAATTGTTATCTTTTAAAAACGCACAAACGGCACACGTATACTATTTTTTGTAACACTTCAGCATTCATCAATCAGGGTAAAGGCAATGTAGGGATCTATCTCATATGCAACAACCAGACTATTTTACGAAAGCACTTCCATGAAAAATGTCAACGCGTCAATGCGTCATGCAAGGACATTATAATATAAATATAAGATGTAACCGTAAGTTTGTTTTGTATAAGGACCGCGGTATAGATTTCAGTGTCTGGTTGTGCAGGGAATACGCCTATTTTACTATTATTGCAAACTGTCTACATTTTTAAAAATTAATAAAGATCAATGTTCAATACTCATTGATATATATAATATTATAATGTGGGGAACATGATAYACAACAGATTAAAAATGTATTAAATAAAAAAAGTTCTATAATTGAATATGATTATTTCATAAAAATTACTATAAAATTAAAATAATAAAAACCTAGAAATCTCAGTTTGTTTTTTGTTTACAATAATTTATCAGTTTTATTAAAATTTAATAAATTACAATGACTCAGTGGCGAGACATACTCAACATCTAATATATAATAGAGCGACTTTCCCAATTTCTTTTTCTTCTGAAATTATTTTTTTATTGTTTTTTTTTTTTTTAATTTAAGAAAAGAAAGAATATCACTGATTATGAATCAATGAGGAAAAATGTGTAGTTTGAGAGGAATAATTATCGATAATTAGTATTTATACATTTTATAATTACAATTAGTTAAAATTAATAATGTTAGATATACGAGTAAACTAATTTAATCATACGATAAATAATATCTTAAACAATGAATAAATAAAAGAAATTCATTTTAAGAATTTAATAATAAAAATCCCTAAACATCAAATACATAAAAAACAAAAAAAAA